TCCAAACTTCGGCCTTTTCTTTGTCATTTTCTCTGATACGGCTGAGAGATAAAGTTTAAGATATATGTTAACGTTTTTATCAAAAATTCAACTGAGTTACATAGTAGATTTCGCATGTTTTGGCGGGCCGTTTACTAATAAGCACACCGCTAAATCGCTGGAATTATACACACACACTTACTTATTTCGATGTCATTTTCATGAAAATGCTTTTCACAAGTAAATACTTTGTCATTTTCGATCTGTCGTTGGAAGTTACTGTCCGTAACTCTGTATTTCTTGAGCTCATGGAGCCAATCTTCGCGCCATTTGCGATATGCTTCGTTCCGAGGTGCTGGAAGCTTCCATATTCCAATTCCCTTGGTTTTACGGCAAGTTCCACAGCCAACTACGGAACAGTTATCTCCAGGCATGTTTTTGAGTTAAAATCTATGCATTTTCAGTCAAGCAAACAGTAATAAAAATAATTTAAAGTCAAAACATTTCTCTATCAACCATTTTCGAACAACGCTGCATCGTATTGTGATGCACGGTAGTCGTGACGTCACGCACCAAAAAGTTGAACAATAACCTACCCCTTTGAAGTTCGCCGGCCTTCCTAACCAGTCCCCTCGATTAACTATGCTTTCTATAAAATCAAGAAATAGATAGACATTCTAGTCTTTTCGGATAAGGACAAATAAACCGTAACATCTATTAATTAGTTAATTTGGTTAGGCAGGAGACGTCAAAGAACCTACTCACGAGAATACTGTGATGTGGTCTGGCATGTTTACGGGGAATTGGGTTAGGGATTAGGTGTAAAATGGAGACGAAAGTTCTGGTCCATTCCCGTGGCATGTAATCGTTAATCAAATACGATACTTTCGTAAAGCATCATGTATCTAACAAGTAAAAACTAAGTTGGCATAAGTTATAAAACTTCCCGTGTCTGATTCAAGAGGCGGTGAGTCCTTTTAAGATTATCTCATTAGTTTCCTAGGTTCTGCTTTTCTTCTTCATTCAAACTGAAATGACTTCACTATTTTTTAAATTTTTAAAGAGCTATTTCAGCTAGCCTAATTTGCTAACATGCATGTTGTGATATGTAAATGAAGGCTCCAGAACAAAAACAAAATACCTGAAAAGAAAAGCTGTTATGCTTCGTTGATTCTCGTTTTTGATATCTAAATTTTGTCATACGAAGCTTCAAGGACCCAATTTAACTCGCCCTGTCTGTGTTTATTGACGACCCAAGGTAGTATAAAATGAAAGAATCATGATCATTATATGAGCGAAGTAAAGCTATGCTACATAGGCCTCATGTCTGAAGCTTTTGACATTTGATCTTTCCTTGTTATCGGAAAGTTGACGTCAGATTAGGGAAACACGCTATCTTTGCAAGCTTTTTAGGTGCCATTAAACTTTCAGTGTTAATATTTACGGCAAAATCTGTAAATTAATCGGCAGTGAATACAATGCAGGTTTATCTATATAAATTATACAATTAGGGATGGAATAATGAACTATGACTCCGCCGGTGCCTGCTGAGCAAAGGTATTGTCGAAATGTACTCTTTCACACACTCGCACATTTTTTTGTAACTTTTTTTATCTTCATTCAGTAGAGAAAGAATTATGACATATTTCAAGGCAGTCTCTTTAAGTTTTTGACGAAACGAGTAACTGATACTTTCAGAAACGGGCGAAGTCCGTAATTTGTGAGACGTGGTCTGAACTTGACCGTCACGTGATCGTTCGGAGATTTGTTTTTAGAAGTTGATTGATACCAAATTTTCAAACCTGAAAAAGCTCAGAACATTTGCCCTTCTAATCATAGTAAAGACTGTTACGCATCGTGCGTAAAGCAGAAAAAAAACGTCATGCTCATCGTGGAACATTCAACGTAGGAACTTTTAGTGGATTTTTCATTTGTCTATTGAAACCGAAAATTGTCAGTTCAACCAAGTGTTTCGTAAATATCAAAGAAGCTAATTATAACTCATTTCCTGTGTTCAGCTCGGTTTTTTTCGTGTGGAGTGTGTTCAGTCACGTGATCGCTTAGAAGCCAAAACAATATCTCTTTTGGTGTGATAGCATCCGAAATAAAATAATTGAAGCCTTCTTGAGATTAGACCTCATCGAGTGTAGAACGGATTCTTGGAAAAACCTGAGTGGTCATGAAATATAACAAATTAAACAAATTGAATTATTTCTAAGTAAGTGGTTTTCAAGCGGTTGTGACCATGTGACCACCTTCAAAGCATAAGAGCTGAATGCATAATTGAACAAATAACAAATCATATGTCGCTAAATCTGAGAATGTGAAGAACTAAATTATTGACAAATGAAGTTTTAAAAGCTGTTCAGCCTGGCAGTTTTATATGTTCATTTACGTTTTAAACCTGATTTATAACGATCGGAAATCATGCATTTTCACGTTCAGTAAATGGATAAGCGACGTTGTCGTCTAGATGGTGGCGGTAAAACTCATACTGGCAACCTTAAACCGTCATCGTACCAAACTATTCCTAGACATACAGGAAAAATACACAACAAAAACAATGATCGGTGTACACGAATACCTTATCATAAACAGCCTCCAATTGCAAGCTCAGGATTTATTACCGAGTGTTTTAAGGTACGGTAGTCTTCCCGACTATTGATCTGCCACGCGGTAGGGATAAAATGATAGAATGCCCCGCTCGCTTACGTCAAACAATAAATATGGAATTCGACGGTCACGTGGTCATGCATCTTAGCGTTATTGGGATAGAGCAATTCATGTCAATATTATGAAGCGGTTTCCTTGTTAACTTAAGACGCAAGAATCCATTGTTTAACTAATTTCAAAATTTTTGTAGACATTTTCGTCTCTGTTCTTAATGTAGTACTTAAATGCTAGCACTGAAAATTCTTAAAAATTAGCCTTAGTGGTATGTTGTACCTTAATGAACGAATGCATGCTGATCCTGTCCTGTTTCAACTCTCGAGGAAGGCTTCTGGGACAGAAGTTATAAATCGCAGCATGACGTTAATATCCATCAATTATCTATAATTATAGGGGTGAGGAAAATTTTTTCGGACTTTGTTGTCTTTATCAGCTAGATTCTTCATGTATGTTAAATGGCAAACCGACATATGAGAATAAAAACTCAAACCAAATTCAATTTTTTGAAAGCAAGCACAAGTTGAACTCTTCAAGAGAATTAATTGAAGCTTTAACCCCTCAAGGACTGTAGAGGACTTTTAAATACCTCGGCAGTGTCATTTCCAGCGACGGCTCCCTTGACAAAGAGATTAACGTAAGGATCATGAGGGGACGCAAATCGTCTGCACTGGAAGTATCCCGGGAGTCCCATACATTTTCTTAGACTAAAAGTCTAAGAAAATGTATGGGACTTTTTGAGCGCTCCAGG